CTTGGATGAGATTATTCTCCATCACATTTAAGAAAAAGTGTCAAAAAAAGTCTTAGTGGTCAAGCCTTATTGGTCAATAAAAGGCAGAAGGTGGATGAACTGGCAGTTATAAGGTTAACACTACTTACAGTAGGGGGGAATTCAGCAAATTTTAAAGAGAACAAATCTAAAAATTCTAGAGAATAAAATTTATTTGAATAATTTCCCTTGTTTACTCCCTCATTTCTTCTTTTTCCCCCTTCGCAGAAATAACCTATGAAATTAGGATAGATTTTAACCACGCTCAAAAATAGTATTAAGGAGAAGCTGTGTTACTTACTTCTGACCTGCGGAATCCACAGCCTGAATATAGAAATACCGGGCAGGCAGAACAACATTGGCTTTTAGGCCAGGTCCCCATATTAAACAGTTTTCTGGGTTTACTCGTCGCTCTTCACCAGTCGCAGCAAATGCTGGAGTTGTTCCCAAAAAGAGGTAGCAAAGCAACAAAATGCTAAACATTTACAAAATTTACTAGTGAAACAACACGCTGACAATGAAGTTTCCAACGCGGCCAGCACCAGCGGGGAACGTGCCACTTTGTCCGTGAAGAAACGTTCATTCACAAATTATAGCTACAGACACATCTGCCAATTCCAACAACATGTACACTTGAAGTAGATTTTCCTTAAAAATAATAATTCAAAGCTCGAGTACCTCTACTTTTCTCCAGGAGAATTACCAGAAGATGGAGATTCTCTTTAAAGTATGCTAACCCTACAGAGGATCCAACCAAGCACCACACTGTTCCTTTTGCAACAGACAAAATGAACTTTTCTCTTACACTCTTGCAGCTAGAACATCACCTTGGGTGAGTTGGCCCCCAGGACCAGCCAGAGATGAAAGCAAAAGTGATTGGCTCTTTTCTCAAAGACTTGCTAAACAATCTCTTTTCCAAATGGGTGTAATTGTTAAATATCTTTGGCTTCAGGGGCATTCTGGGATCTGTAGTTCATGTAAATGAAATAGCGGAAATCTGAGAGGGATAGCATTTAACAGAATCTCATTTATTCAACACATTACCCGTTTTCAGCAAGAAGAAAAATTATCATTCATACTAATCAATACTCAGAATATGAAGCACTGAAGTTTGGTGTCACAAAGAACCCTGTTTGCTTCCCCAAAATTTAACTATCTCAGAAATTTACACTTTCATAATCACTGGATATCTCTACCTTCACAGGTCAGAACTGAAAGATAAACAAAGCATCATTTTGGAATTGAATGACTCTTAATTGAAGACTTGAACTCTTTGGTTATGAATATCTTCCCTCTCCCTTACTACCCTCAAAAGGTGTGGAGATGAGTAATGGGAGGGGAAGGTCCTCTGGAGATAGGAAAAGAAACTTCAATTCCCAGCGTCCATAGGATAGGATTTGAGTGAGACAATGAAAGAGGGAAGGAGGGAAGGAAAGATTGCATTCTGGAAGTTGTAGTATGTCTAGAATGAATTGGGCTGTTGTAGTGACCAGAGATCTTCTCCATTAGACATGCTGGAGGTACTAACTGGGGCAAAGGGAAAGGACAGAGATCAGTTAGCCTTAAATTTGTGTACTGCAGGCTCCCTCCTGAATGGATACAGATTAAGGATCACGGTTAAGGTGTGTTTTTATATACTTCACCTCATGTTATAAGACCTCACAATAAATGAGGATCTTTAGTGGTCCCAGGCTCCTACTTATCTTAAAAGGGTAAAATTTGTAAGAGTTTGTACAAAAAATACTTTAGTCTTTTTTAATGAAATAATTAACTTTGCTCCTTAAACAGTAGCCTAGAAGATAGGAACACCTGTGATTCAGGGTCAAAGGGGAAGAGAAGAAATGCTAGAGAAAACTGGATAATAGTTACATTCATGAGACTTTACTCAGGTTTCCATTCAGCAGCTTTCCTCAGAAGATTCTTTCTAGCTATCTAAACATAAAAAAGTAGGAGCCACATAGAATCTCAGAGTTTAGTTTGAGTCTCTCATTGTAAATTCCCACATGAAGGAGATAGGGACACTGCATATTACTGTGTCCTCACTTGGGTATCAGTCCCTTCATAAATAAAACCTTGCTATATATTCCCAGATGCCCCCTTCTAATTCCACATGTGACACTGGGTTTGGCATCCCTATGGTCAATAAACATTTATTAAACACCTACTATGTGCCACCACAAAATGAGTACATCAACTTATCCTCCCTAAATACCTTCTTCACTATTCAAAATGCGAATGCAAACTTAGTACTTAAAAAAAAAGCTACATCATGGTCTAGTGAAAAATCACAATGAACTTAGAATCATAAATTCCCTTGTTCAAGCTCCCACTTTACAATTTGGGCAAATCACTTAATACCCATGAGTCCTATTTCCTCTTTTTTTTTAAGACTGATGATAGTTAGAAAGCATGGTACAATGGTTAGAGAACTGGCCTTAGAATCAGATAGACCTAGGATCAAGTCTTACCTTTGACACATACTAGATATGAGACCATATATTCATCATTTAACTTCTCAATGTTTCCAGGTAACTTGTGAAGTAGGTACAGATTGGCATTGATAAGAGCGAGTTTATATACTGGTTGTTACCTAAAGACAACACGATAAAGTGGAAAGAGCAAAGTATTTAAAATCAAAGAACCTGAGTAAAATTCTGGCTGTGCCACTTATTATTTTTTTTGACCATAGGCAAGTCCTTTACCTTCTTTGGGTCTCTATTAGATTAGATTATTACCAAGGTCATTAATCTGTAAATCTTTGATCTCATGTAAATGGAATCACACGTCTCATCCAAGAAAACGAAACATTAGTACTTATATTGCCTGAGAAGGTCAGAGTTGGAAAGGATTTCGGAGGCCATCTTGTCTAACCCATACCTGAACAAAAATTCCCACCACAACAGTCCAAGAAAATTGTTAACTGGTCTCCACTTCCTGGGGCAAACCTACTTTGAACCTAAATCTCCCCAATTCCTGGGGCAAACTAAATCCAATTTGAACTTCACCCATCCCTGGGGCAAACCTAATCTAAACCTATTGTTCATGTTAGTGCCCTGTGGACCATACTGTCCTTGGAGTTTTCTTGGCAAAGATACTGGAGTGGTTTGCCATTTCCTTCTACATTGGACTAAGGCAAAAAGAGGTTAAGTGAATTGACCAGGATCACACAGCTAGCAAGTGTATGAAGCCACATTTGAACTCAGGTCTTCTTGATGCCAGGTCCAACACCCTATCCACCGTACCATCCAGCTGCCTCCTTTAACATTTAATCTCTATCTCTGCATTCTCAGCGACTGGCTGGTAATAGGTATTTAATAAATGATTATTGATTGAATAATTGATACATTTTCCAATATTTTGGAATTTTGTGTTGTTCAGTCATGTCTGACTCTTTGTGACCCCATTTGGAGTTTTCTTGGCAAAGATACTGGAATAGGCTGCCATTTCCTTCTCCAGCTCATTTTACAGATGAGAAAACTAAGGCAAATAGGGTTAAGTTACTTGCCTAGGGTCACACAGCTAGTTAAGTGTCTGAGGCCAGATTTGAATTTAGGAAGATTAGTCTTCCTGACTCTATCCACTGTACCACCTAGCTGCCCCATCCAAACCTAAACTTTGGGAATCCCTGAGGTGGGCCCAAACCTAAACTGTATCAGTCCCTGGGGCAAATTTAATCTAAATTTAAACAGTCTCAATCCCTGGAGCAAACTTAATTTAAATCTATACCACTTCAATCTCAGTGACAAATTAAATCTAAAACTAAACCTAAATCTTACCTTAGCACAGAAGAAAGAGGTTCAAGAGCAGGAGTTCTACCTCTGGGGGCAGTCTTCCAAGAAAAAGTCCCTCAGTGAAACCCTAGTATTCCAGGGAGTTTTTATAGAAGGTTGTTGGCCAGGTGTCTGAGTTCTGACTCCACCTAGCATGGTTGGCCAAAAACTGTGGCAGGTGTAAGATAAAAAGTGACTGAGGAAAACAAAGGTTTAGTCTTAGAGCATATCATTTTATTAAGCAATGCAGACTAATTGCCTAACAAATCAGCCCTGAGCTGAAGAAGGGGCCTGGTCCCAATTTGTCAGGCAATTGGCCTGCATTGCTCAATAAATTGATATACTCAGACGATAGAATCTTTGTTTTCCTCGGTTATTTCATTTTTCATCCACCACAATGAAGCATCTTAGGGAAAAAAAATCCATGACTGTAAAATAAGCCCTTCTGTCTTACTATATTATCACAAGAACTTCAAAATAGGAAAAAAAGAACATGATTTAAAATTCTTTACAGTCTGACCATGTCAAACCTCATGTCACTTCTTAACTGCTTAACTCCTTAGCTCAGGGCCTCTCACATAGGTTTAGTAAACGCTTGCCGAACGGCTGGCAGCTCCTTCAATCAATCTTCAGTGCCTTTAAGATCTGGGTTGCCCCATTCTAGGCTTGCTACAGCTATTGAAATAAAAAAAAAATGAGAAAAGGCTTTTAAGTACAATGTAAGAGCCAAGTACTATTAAACCCTTTGGGGCCTTTCCTCATTCCAGTCTGCTTTCTCCTTCTACATTTCATTTGTCCACGTCTTTTTTCAGGCTCGGTGCCAGAACTGGACCAGCTGCTACTTCTGTCTCTCGCCTCCTCCCTGGCTGCCACTGAGCTTAGATATGGATAGGTTGACAGTGGGAACCGGCCTCTTCAAAGCAAGGCCTGAATTCATTTTTGCTTTAGTGAATAAATGAATACAGACGCTTACAACCTTTCCTGCCGCAGCTACTGAGACCTTTCCCCCAGGGACGCAGAAGTTGGCAGAAAAATGCGAATCCATGGTAAAAGACCAAGCATAGCCGTCCATCCCGCCCTCAGGCCACCCATTTGGGATCAGAGCCCTCTGCTTCCGGTGCTGGAGACTGGGCGGTCTATCTTTGCATCCTCTGACAGGCTGTGCCTTTCTCCACCCCTTCTCTTACTTGGCCAACCCCGGGGAGGTAGAAACCACATCTCAGTAGGGGAGGGAGACGGGGCTAGCTGGGGCTGGAACCGCGAAGCTGCTCTGGCTCTGCAGCTGCCCTGGGTGAGTGAGTGCGTGCGTGCATGCGGCCGGTCCCGGGGCTATCTCTCTCCTAGCTCGCATCTTCCCCTCGCCGAGGCCCTGCTGTGCGAGCCCTTAGCCGTCGCCAGACCCAAAGGGGCTAGCAACACTGCCCTGTCGCGGTGCCACTTCGACCCAGAGACAAGGTCCGAGAGTGACGATCCTAAGTCTCCTACCCTCCTGCCCTACTTCCCTCCCCCGTAGCTTGGAGATTGAGTCAAGGGAGCAGACACCGGGTCCCTGAGCTGCACAAAAAGAGAGGGAAAGCAGTGCCTGGTCCTCAGGCCACCTCCTCCTCCCGATGGCGCTCCAAGCAGTCAGGATGCTTGTCCCTTGTGTGCCCTTAGCAGGATCATAGCGTTGGAAGAGACCTTAGAGGTCAGCTAGGCAGGCCAGGCTTCGTCCTGGAGATCCTGAGCTCGGGCTCTGGGTTAGGAAGGAGGAGGGGGAGGAAGGAATATGGCCTTAAGGATAGATGAAAGCTGAGGTGTACCGACAGGGGAAGATTAATAGAGGGGAGGAATGCTGGCTGTAGCCCTGTGGTTAGTTATTGTCTTGATGGGACTAACATTACAGAGAGAGGCAATCTACGGTCTAGTCCTGGCTCTGCTGTTGACCTGATATTTGACCTTGATAAAGTCATTTAACTGCCCAATGCCTCAGTTTCCCCCTGTGTAAAATGGGTGCACTAATAAGAGTGCATTCCCCTTTTTAAACTCGATACCTAACAACCATAGTTCACAAAACAGCAGCAACAAATTAGGTGGTTTTCTGCTTTGCAAAGGCTTTTTTTGTTTGTTTTTTACTGGTTTTAATATGATTCTTTTAAGCAGGAAACTCCTGCTTTTAAAATATTCATCTGAGGTTCAGTTTATATACAACTTTTCAGGAATGACTCTAATGCCTAAGGTGAGGAGCACTTCTTATAAACGTGTTTATAAATAAATTATGAAGAGCTTTCTTTTAGAAGAAACCAGAACTGAGCTCACAGGGTTTAGATGCATTTCATTAACTCTTAAACAGCAACGTCTGCCATTACCAGTTATCTGGCAACCTGTTCGGAGTGCTCTTGATAAATAAAGGGGAGGAAGCTTCAGAAAAGCCTAAATAGATGTGATAAGGTTAATAATAACAATAATACATTTATAAAGTGCTTTCTTGTTTACAAAGAATTTTCCTCAAAACCTCTCCATTAGGTAGCTAACAAAAATATTTTTATGGCTGTGTAAAATGTGAGGAAACTATAGCTCATAGAGGTTAAGTGACTTGCTTCCAGAGCTAGTAAGTATCAGATCTGGATTTGAACCCAAGTCTCCCTACTCCAAGTTCATTAACTTTGGGAGATTTCAATAAGAAACTCTTTACTCTTATTTTAGGTACAATTCTAAAAACCTTAGTTATTTGTTTTCATAGTCCATGTCAGATTTCAAACAGCAAATTAGGAGGACTGTCTAGAGATATCACACTGATAGCACTAATAAGGGAGAAATTATTGCTTGACCATTTCATACATTCATTCATTCATTCATTCATTATCTATCAGTGCCAACTGTTAAAGGCCTATGCTAGGTAATGGGGATACAAATACAAAAAATAAAACACCTATACCTTTAAGGAATTACTCTTTACTGGGGATAAACAACATGTACAGAAACATGCCAATATTAAATAAAAGTATTAGAATGTCTGATTTGGATCTTATCTGTGGTTGAAAAATTTCCCCCTCTAATTAGCATAATTCTACCAAATTTAGGGGGAGGGTATTAACACCTTGGGGATCAAGAAAATCATATTGTACTTAAACTGAGACTGAAGAAAGAGACTGAATATTATAAAAGCAGACAAAATTTTCCAAAAAAAAAAATAGCAGTCTGAGACAAGCTGCTCAACATACTTCAGTAGCCCCTGAATCACTGTATTACAGTGCTGTAAAATAATTGATACTCATTGTATGACCTTGAGTATTGAAGAAAAGTTTTAATTATGTTCAGTGTGTTATATGTGAGAAGAAAAATATGTAATAAGTTTTAGAAAGTCTTCCATCCATGATGGTCAAGTTTTTTTTTCTTCTGACATTTAGAAGAAGAAGCTTCAATTATTAGGAAAATAAGGCATCATGTTACTTGAACAGCATATTAATGTTAGGAAAGAGATAAAAGAGTGATCTCCCTGTCTTCTTCTAGAATGCTTTCTCTTAGGCTTCAAATTGCAAGAAAAAGTCGTGTATTTACACACATATATAGAAACATGTATACATATGCATGCATGTATGTATATATTTATGTACATTTACACATATATTCACCTAAAGCTTTAATTTCACAGTTGATTTTATATTGTTTGTAATAAGGAAGAACAGGGACTTCATGGTTAGTAGAACTCTACACATAACACTTAAATCTTAGATGAAGCAGAGTTTTCAACTTTCCCCTGCTAGACCAGAGCTGGTAACAAGTACAAACATGATTGGTATTTAATACACTTCCCTTCCTCCAATGGAGCTGTTGATGGACGAGGCAAATATGAGGATGAGAAGAATCTGGTTCTCAATAATCTCTGGATTGCATTATCAATCCCATCCAGAGTTTACTGTTTGATTTTGAGGATATCCATTGTTTTTAATAGAATTAGAGAATTAACTAAAGACAATAATACTTCTTAAACTATTTTAACCTCTGAATTGCTCTCATTCCATATTGAAAGTATCACACAAGTTCAGTTAAAGGCACCTCAGGAGCCATCTTGTCCAAAGCAAATATCAATAGGAGTCTTCTCTCTACTATCTCCAATGATGATTAGCATACTTCTAATTGAAGACCTCTAGGGATCGGTATCAGGGGCATCCATTCCTGAGATTTTTGGAGAGCTCTAATTATTACAAAGCTGTTTCTTACGTCTAGGTGAAGATTTCCTGGTTGTAATGTCATTATTGTTCCTAGTTTTGCTTCTGGAGCTAAGTAGAATAAGTTTTATCCTGCTTTTATATGATAGAAATATTTGAATATAGCAATTATAACACCTACTCCAAGTCTTTTCTTTTCAAGATTAAACATACCTAATTCCTTCACTGGCATGGTCTCCTGTCTTCTCACTGTTTGTTCCCATGGGAATCACTAAAATTGAATACTGGTCATTAGGTTCGGCAAGTCTTGTGAGACTGTCATGTCCCAGATACAAGTCTCAGGAAGACAGTGTGCTTTCTCATTGATGAGGTCAGGTCAACATGGCTCCCTCGGTGCCTCTCAATAGAGTCACCATCTATTTCAACTTATCTTTTTTCTGATACTGGGTGGCCTCACTCCAGATTCTCCATATGAATCCTCATCTTATTCCTTCCTGAATGGCTACCTTCTCTCGAGTGGGTACAGCTCTGTTGTCTATAGGAAGTGTATATCTATCTAAGTGTTCAGCTCCAAAGGTTTAATAGTCCTATTTCTTTTCCTTTTAAGGGATATATTCTTCTATACTCCAATCTCCTGACATAGGTTAGGATTCTCTTTTACATCTTGAAATCCTTTTTTTTTTCTTTTTTGTTTTTCCTTTGAAATGAGACTCCATTGATTTTCCATCCACATAAAAGCAATTACCTTTGTTGGGTAAGAACACTTTTTGATAAAATCTGTTCATCAGAATCAAGTATGAACAGGGCCTGTACTTAGACCTGTTTGAATGGATCAGAGCCATTGTGGGAGAGATTTGGTCACTTCCTAAAGGAATTTGTATAAAAGGAAGGAGTAATTTCAGAACCAGATATGAATATCTGGAAGAGAGAGAAGTGAAGTTATACAGAGCAAAGCCAAGAACTGTAAGCCCTGGGGCAACCAGTGAAAGGAGAATGAGAAGGTAGTCCTGAGCTGTGATATGGAAGGGAGATGGATATTCAAGAGGACTGGCAACTCTACAAGCCTATGAGAGCAGAAGAACAAGGCTGACTTGAGTACTCATGTACTCAAGGACCTTTTCCCAAGAAAAGATCTTCTCTTTCCTTATCTTTTACTGGTGTAGAATATAATCTAATATAATCTGCTGTCTCATTACCCAAACATCCCCAGTAACCTGAATTTTTGCATTAACCACAGAGAGGTCAGGGGTTAAAGAGATAGATGTAAATGTAAATTTAGAAGAAATGTTAACAATTAACCTAAATGTTAAGAATTTTCTTACTGGGAGTTAGAGCAATTTTAATTGAACTTAAAACTTTTCATCATGAATAAACTCCATAAAGCCACAGAAGAAGGACCTTATGGATCATTATTGCTGCCCCTATTCTTAAGATGAGCTTATTATTATATTGGTGTTACACATTCCTTTCACCTCCTATAATAGGGAGCCTAATATTTATTTTGCTTACATATGACTGTTACTTGACCCTGAAGGAAGCACATATTACAGAGTTTAAGGGCACAGAGAAAATTATTATTGTCTTCTGTACTTGTTAGACCTGAGCCCCTATTGTATTCATTGCTAACTCTCGTGGCTAACTACTATAGCTAACCACCATAGCAAACTTCTGGTCATTGGGTAGGGACCCTGTCATTGGGCTGTCTGATCTATTCATGGCAGAAAAATTTTCTCCATAATTAGCATATTTCTACCAAATCTTTAATGTAAACCAAAGATGCCTTTGTTGCCTGTGAGGTTTTTAAAAAAATTGTTGGAGAGACATCATGCACATCTCACCCTTCACCCGTGAATTATCCTTTACAATATAGAATGAAAAGAAAGAAAAAAAGGTTTTGCACAATTACCCAACATATAAAAAAAGTTTTATGCTATAAGTAGTGTTTCATACCCATGGATCCCCAGCTATGCAAAGAAGCTTGATGATGTGTCTGATAATATCTATTCTTTGGGATCAAGATTGGTAATTATAATTTCCAATCATTCAGTTTTGATTTTTTTGATAGTAATGTTACATTATTATAATATACATTGTCAGGCCATTCCCCAATTGATGACTATCTCTATTTCTATATCTTTGCTACAACAAAAATTGTTACTATGAATATTTTGGTATACAGGGGGGTCTTCGTTTTTGTCATTGACCTCTTTTAGCCATATGCCCTGCCGTGGAATCTGGGTCAAAGGTTATTAGCATTTTAGTCACTCTCTTCACATAATTCCAAAGTGCTTTCCATAATGATTGGGCAAATTCACAGCTCCGCCAACAATGTATCATTGTGCATGTCTTTCTACAACCCCTCCAACAATGACTGTTGCTATTTTTTGTCATCTGTGCTAATTTTCTAGGTGCAAGATGAAATCTCAGAGTTGTTTTTGATTTGCATTTATGTTAGTAGTGCTTTGGAACATTCTTTCATATGGTTAATAGTTTGTAATTCTTATTTTGAGAAATGTTCATATCTTTTACCTGTGATTGCTTAGGTAGAAATCTAACCTCTAGCTATGTCTTGCCTTTTTTTTCTCCTTCTTTTTTTCTCAACTGATCAGTTTTTAGTGAACTTCTGCCATTGTCCTCTCATTGTTTGTGTCTTCTGTGACCATATTCCTCATGGTACTGAACAAAAATTCAAATTTTGCCCTCCCCCCCAAGCTTTTACCACATCTAAGTGTACTCTTACTCTATTAAGATACTTAAGATCTTTTGAAAAGTAATTTTAACAGAAAAACATACCAAGCACAATATTTAATGTTTATTAGACAGTTTCATAAAAATATATTGTAATGTGGTAGAGTGCTGGTCATACATTTGGGAAGATCTGGGTTCAAGTCTTACCTTTGACATACTGACTGTGAGACTGATGGCAAGTCAAAAAGCCCAACATAATGTGATACCCTCCTACTTTTCCAGTTTACTTATACCTTACTTCACCACATATACTCTTCCATCCAGTGACTTTCTTGCTATTCCTTATACAAGGCACTCCATCTTCCTACTCCATGCATTTTCATTGCCTGTTCCTTACACCTGAATATATCTCCTTTATCTCTGCCTTTTGGCTTCCTTAGCTCCAAATCCCAGCTGAGATCATATCTTCTCCAAGAAACCTCTCTAGATCCCACTTAAGGCTAATAATGCCTTCCCTTCCTTGATTTTTTCCAGTTTCTCCTATTTTTATCTAATTTCTACATAGTTGTTTGCATGTTATCTCCCTTATTAGGCCATGAGCTCTTTGAGAACAGAGACTGTCTTTTGCCTTTCTTTTTACCCATGTCCCTTAGCATAGTGACTGGACATAGTAGGCTCTTAATAAATTATTGTTCACTTGACTTAACCTCTCTGTGTATGAGGCAGCTCTCTAACACTATAAGGTGCAGAGCAAGTCTGATCTATTGCAGCAAAAACAAATTCCATACTTAGAGTTCCTGTACCAATGAAATCAAAGTTTGCCTCAAAAAAACAACAGCATCACATTTGCTTAAGGGATGCTAAGATAAAAAAAAAAGTAGTTTTAAAATTCAGTGTGATGGATTTGAAGCAGATTAATTTTCTTCCGGTGGATATATATAATTAAATAGTAGAATGGGTTTTGGAATCATCTAAAAATAATGAGAGCTTATATTTATATAGGAATATATATATGTGTGTGTGTGTGTGTGTATGCATATATATATATATATATATGTTTGTTGAATGAATGAATTTTGTTGCAAAGTTCTTTCATGTAGATAGTCTGTAAACAGGTATTTGCTCCTCCCCTGCCCCTACTTTCACCTGCCATTCTACCCACCCAGGCTCCAATAAATAAGCAATTTGCTTAAGGGCATACAGTTAGTAAGGGGAACAGTCAGGAACTAAGGTTTTCTTATTCTAGGGCCACAGTCTTTCCACTTGACTGGCCTTTCTGTGTATTTCATTAATCCTTTGAATATTTGTTATTTTCTGTATGTATTGATAATTTTTCATAAAAGTACTTTTTATTTTTATAAAGTCTTTGAAGGTTGTCAACATTTTTATTTCTACTTGGGGTTGGGATGGGGGTTGGACTAACATGGCCTGTCAGATTCCTTTCAGCTCCAACATTCTGTGCTTCTATAAATAAGGATGGAGGAGCTACTGTTTTGCCAAGAGTTAGAAAGATCAAAGAATGGTGAAGCAGAGATTGAGTCCTTCGAAAGTCTGTGCTCCGAAGTTGTGTGCCCCCTGCAGAGCAAGGTTTTCTCCTAAAGCTACTTTTAATTGTATTCACTAGGGGTTCTCTGTTGAACTCTTTCTCTATCTCCAGTCCTATATTCAATGACTTGTTTAAATTTTCTTTCACTTTCTTCCAAAGGTAACCAGCCTGGACTTGAAAACCAACCCTCTTCTTAAACTGTTATGATTGCTTCTTCTCTGGTGACATATTTCTGTATAGGTTATTTATACTTTGCTGATTGAGACATTTTAGTGAAGTTCTGTGAACCTCACCTTGCATATTTTGAGTTTGTATAGTACTACACCTTCAAAAAACAAATAATAATTAATAATTTTCTAGCACCTAGCACAATGATGGACACATAGTAGGCACTTAATAAATGCTTATTGATTGATTGATTTTCAAAATAATGTTTCATTTTAAAAAAATATAAACAGAGGTTGCCAGTTGCTCCAGAGGTCATTTATATGTAAGGGTGAATATCATTTAATACTAAACGTTTCATTTCTCTTGGGGCATATTATTGCTTGCTGATTTATCTCTCTTTGTCCTGCCCTCTTTATTTAGGTGTTCCAAATAACCCTATGTAAATCTTTGGAAAATGCTGTAGGCTGTTGAAGTTGTTGCAAGAAATCATCCTGGAAACAACATTTTGCCATTTCATTCAATGCCTAACATTGTAGACACAGAAAGATCAAATGATTCTAGAAACAGTGACCTTAATAAGCCTGAAAGAAAGTCTCCAGAGCAGAATTTGAAAGTTGCCACCAAATCCTTCTGCTCCACTGATGCCCCAACAGCACCATTGGGTTCTGGTGATGGTCGCTATCCATGGAGTTGTCCAGTGACTCATACTCGGGAAAAAATCTATGCCATCTGCTCAGACTATGCTTTTCTCAACCAGGCAACCTCAATTTATAAAACTCCAAATTCTACTCTTTCTTCTTGCCTTGCCAATAGCACTTCTGTTGCTGTTGGAAATAATTCAGCCAGATACATTGGTATCCCAACTAGTTCCTCAGAGATCATCTACAATGAAGATAGTAACTTGGAAAGCTTATCTAATAGTTTTGGCAAGCTGCCACTTGCCTGGGAAATCGATAAGTCTGAATTTAATGGAGTGACTGCAAACTTGAAAAACAAATCAGGTAAGGAATCACTCAATTCAAATGTAAAGAAAAACACAGGCCTTTAATAAGGACATACTTAGAGAAATAAATGGCTTAAATTATTTCTCCCCAAATACAAAAACTGAAATTATTATCTAATAAAAGAAATAAGCATACCTATTTTATGACTTGGAAGCAGCTCTATGTACTATTTTGATAATGTGAAGCAATGCATTTCATTAATATATTTCCTTTATACATTCAGATTTGTATTGTAACACCCTCTGTGTTGTATATTCAAGTTTTCAGAGTCTTTACATACATTAACAGTGGGGATGGTGTTTGGAATGTATAGTTTTATGCTCCTGTTACAAATGAGCAAACTGACACTAAAATAAGTTAAATGAATTGCCCTGCTTCACTCTGCAAACCAGTGGCTAAGTTAAAATTAGAACCCAGGTCTACCAACCTGATTGTCATTATGAGGAAAGAGCTTCTAAAGCTTAAAGTGCTTTATAATGCCATCTCTGCTCCTTTTTCCTTCAGTTAGTCAGGTGGCTGGGGTGGGCGGGATTGAGGTAGAGGGGAAAAGTAGGGATTTGGTATCAGGATTAGTTTGTGGTATACTCTCCTGCATCTTTCTTCCTATCGTCATCCACCCCAAGAATATCTAGTAGTCTAAATGGCCCCAATTGCCTCCTACAACACTGAATGCAGTTGAGGCTTTGAGCCTGCTCACTACTAAGTTAGGATGCTTGGACTTCGTGGCGTATGCTCATTTGGAATATATGACAGACTTTTGTCTCATGAAGATTATAGGATTAAATGCTAAGGAAGAGAGGTAACATATGAACACAAACAGCTGTGTAGGCCTATTTGAGCTATGATTGGGGGGATTGAGATTGGCTACGCATAGCCCTGTACTTTGGTCTTAGATCTCTTGCCTGTCAGATCCCAGATCCATTTTTTTTAAGTGATTGAAAGATGATTGGAAACCCAGGAAACATGGCAGAAGATAGGTTTTCATTTCTCTGTGGTAATGGAAACCAAGTCTCACAGCTAAAAGGGGGAAAATATCCACTGAATCATGGGCTATAATGAGTAAAAGGGACCCTGGAGATGATGTAGTCCAATGTTTACTTTTTACATATGAAGGAACCAAGAGTCAGAGAGATAAGTATCCAATTTGGCATAAGAAGTTTTGGTAATGTTTTGCCGTTAGTAGTTAAGCCCTGTGAAAAATTAAGCTCTATCTGAGAAGGATCAGAAGAAATGATTCAAGGGGAAAATTTGTTCCCTGTTCTTAAAGTTTTCATTATCACAGAATTTCATCTAGAATAACAAAATTCCCTTTCTAACAATAACAGATATAATTCTAGCCAATAGTTGGCTGCATTACAGATGGTTACAGTATAGAACAAGTGTGCTAATGTGGATTAAAGTTGATGCCCAGTGTTTTGCTGGTTTTTCTCTTAGTACATGTCTGAATATTTACATTTCAAGATTGCTAAAAGACTGATCAGTGGATAGAATCACATGGTCATGAAGCCCTGGGTTCATATTCTGCCTCTGACGCATACTAGCTATATAACTATGTACAAGGCACTTCTAAGTACCCCCAGGCAACCATGGAAGACTGTAAGTAACAGATGATTGCTGAACTAAATCACGGGAGAAAATTCTACGCTAGGAGTCTCTTGTACTAGTACAATCACAGTTCTGGACCTGCTGTACCCACAAACTCCCTGAAAAGACTAATGATAAGAAATATACTAGCTTGTAGGTAATTGAGATCAATAAAATAATGCATATTTTATTTAGATAAAGAAAAACACAAGACATAATAGAATATTTTAAAATATTTAATCTATTCAATTATTTCAGCTTATTTATTTTTAAATAAAGTACTAAGTTTGCAATCCAGAAGGCCTACGTTCAAATCCTGTTTCTGATACTTACTAACTTTGTGAGCATAAGCAAATAGAACATCTCTCAGTCCCAGGGTTTTCATTAATAAAATGGGGACAATAAAATCTGTTGCATGTAACTCATAAGTTGTTATGAGGCCCAAATGAAACATTGTTTATAAAGTGCCTTATAATCTTTAAAGTGGAATATAATGTCAGTTATTATCATGAATTTAAGTAGAATTTCAATAAAATTAGGATTTTATTGATTTGTAGGTCTATGTGAAGGTTACAAATATTTTTGCCTCTAGTCCTGGAGCCAATGATATTTTTAAACATTCTATATATGTAATTATTTTTAAAAGTCTGTGGAATGAAGTTTTCAAAAATAGTACTTTTTCTGATATTACCTTAATGCTTTTAATGGTTTTATTACAAAATATAATCTTATGATTGTATAAGTAAAATGATTTTTAAAAGACAATTTAAACAATATTGCCAAATGGTTATCTCACTTTCCAAATGTGACTAAGTTTGGTAGATAATTTATAAGCTGAATAACAGAAATTTGAGGCTCTGGAAAAGAGACATTTTTTACATTTCAGTTAGGAATTTCTTTTTGTAGCAAGGGCACATTCCTAGAAATAAATTAGTTATTTAAAAATGTTAGACATTATAATTTTTAATGATATTGACAAAATGATTTTTACTGTACATTTGGAAGTGATTGTAATTGGAACATACTATGAAATAGTAATTCCAAGATTTCCTTTTTCAGGCAATGTGAAGAAACAAATTTCCAAAAAAAAGACTTCCGAAAAAAAGGGAAAATATAACAAGGAGTGTCCTCAGTATTCTACTCTTGAAGATATGAAGCAGCGGAAAGTATTAGACCTCAGGCGATGGTAGTATTTTAATGGCAGCTATTAAACAGTTAAAATCATCTTTGACTTAAACATGTTTGTTACTAATTTATATGAAATTTCAGTGCTAATATGGTTAGTGCCTATTTTACATGTAGGGAGATGAAGATACAAAGAAGTGTAAAATAGTGCCTGTCCTCATGGGACTTGCAGTTTGATTGTAGAGACAGAAAATATACATAAAAGATACTCAACAGGGGCAGTTAGATGGTGCAGTGGACAAGGTTCCAGCCTTGGAGTCAGAAGGACCTGAGTTCAAATTCAGCCTCAGACACTTGACACTCACTAGTTGTGTGACCATGGGCAAGTCACCTAACCCTGATTGCCTCACCAAAAAGCAACAAAAAAAAAAAAAAAAAAGGATACATAAAATATACTTAAGTTCAAATCCTATTTTTACTTCTTTGGTCAAGTCACTTAATCTCTAGACCTTAGTTTCCTCATCTGTAAAATGAGAGAAAAGGAATTAATAACCTCTAAGGTCTCTTCTAGTGAAATGGATTTAGTGGGCTTGGAGTAAAAAAAAAAAACTGAGTTCAAATCCTACCGCAGGCACGTACCAGCACTGTGATGCTGGGCAAGTCACTTACCCTCAGCCTCAGTTTCTTCATCTGGAAAATGAGGGTGTTGGACTTGAGGAGAGGGAGTGATCAATATAAGGACAAGGCAATGCAGGAAGGCTAATGGAGGAAGCAGTATTTAAACTGAAGTTTATGGAAAGCTAGAATATAAATAAATTGAGATGAGGGAGAGGGCATTTCAGGCCAGGAGAGGGTGAGCAAAGGTGCCCAGGTGGGAATTTGTATGGTGCTTTGTAGAATAGTGGAACAAATTGGTGTTGTCTAGGGCATTTGTGAGAAGAGAATATTGGAGAGGTAGTTGAAGACTATGTTGTTAAATGTCTTAAATACCAGTTAAAGTAGATTGGAGTTTGTCCTATGGGAAAAAGAGAGTGATGGAAAGTTTACATATAGGGGGTGAAGTGTATAATGCTGTCTTTGAGAACAGGTCATTAGCATCCATATAGCAGCATAATTTAGATCTTGTTAGTAATACCGACCTACTTGTTATCAAAGAATTGAAATATAGAGTAGGTGTGACATGTATTCTTTGGAGAATTTCTATATTTTTCTATTTTCAGGCAACACTAGATGATTATGGTAAAAATAATATAAATTACAGTTTATCAAAGCTTCCTGTTTTCCTTGCCCCATCTTTAGGGAAATTACACTGTTCAGTAACCCTATTGGTAGAGCATAACCAGGGTAAGAAAGATAATATGAGTCAGATTCAATGTTTCTTGAGTCTTTTTCATTATATTGAACTGTTTAAGCAAATTTCTGTTTTCAGAAATTAGATTATAAATTCCTTGAGGTGTTGGAAAAAGGACATTGGAATAGGAATCCTGGCTTTTAGTTTTGTGTCTGCTACTAACAAGCTCTGTGACCTTGGACAAGTCAGTTAACATTTCTGACCTTCAATTTCCTCTTTTTTTTTTTTAAATGTGAAGATTGGACTAGATGATCTCTAAGGGCCCTTTAATGTATGGTAGCAGGGATCCTGTTTTATGCTTCTTTTAAAGTGCTATGAGTCATAGCTCAGTGCCTTGAATAAAGTAGACACATTATTAATATTTGATTTAAAGATATCTTCTGCACATTGGTATATGTCTACTCTATGACATTGGTATATAAAGTTTTTTAAAGTATGGGAGAGAAGTACAATCAGCTGAAATAATCTGAAGAAATATGGGATTGTACCTTACTTTCAAATTCATATTGAGAAATCTGGAGGGTCATGGATAAGAATCTTACGGGATGAGATGTATATGGGTTATGATCTAAATAATCATGGAGGGAGTGCCCCATTAGAGATCTCAAGGGGCCACTGAAGGATTGAGAAGAGTAGTAAAGTAGAAAGAACACAGGACTCTAGAAATCTATAGACCTGGGTTCTAACCCCAGCTCCTTTACTTAGCACTTGTATGGTCTTGAGCAAGTCAGTCAGTCAGTCACCAAACATTTATTATGTACTCACCGCATGTCAGACACTATAAGTGCTGGGGATAGAAAGAAAGACAAAAACAGTCCTTACTTTTGAGGAGCCCATATTCTAATAAGAGACAACTCGAAACAAACACGAACATACAAGCTATATACAGAGTAGATGGAAGATATCTCAGAGAGAAGGCACTAGCAGTGCCTTCTAGCAGTAGGGATGTGGGTGGGGGGTGGAATGAATTGAGAAAGGCGTCTTTCAGAAAATGATATCTGAAAAGAGTGGTGAAGGAAGCTAGGGAAGTCAGGAGGTGAAGGAGGTGAGGAAAGAGAGCATTCCTTCTACAGGGAATAGCCATTGAAAATGCTGATGGAAGATGGAGTTATCTCAGTCTCAGATTTATTTATCCTCCTCTCTTGACCTCCAACTTTTCACCTTCACTCTCTGTTTTTGCATTGGCTGTTCCTTATGCTTAAAATTCCCTTCCTCCTTATCTTTGCCTTGTAAAATTCCTCTCCTTTCAAAACACAGCTTAAACAAGCTTTTATGTGAAAATTTTTCCTGTTCTCCCAGCTATTATTGCCTTCCTTCCCAAATTACTTTGTATTTAACAACTACTTTGTATTTATTCTTTTTATATTTGAGTATATATTTACATATGAAACTGTTGATTTCCTGATTGATATTTAAACCTCTTGAAAACAGAGATTGATTCATTCGTTTTTTGTGTCCCTAGTACAGTGCCTGGCAAATGGTAGGTACTTAATAAATGCTTATTGACTGATTGATATTTCATAAACTGAAACCTGCAATTAACACATGAACTTTGATAAATTATCCATTTGCATAGCTTGTATTCAAATAACCAAAACAAGCTATTCTCTTCTCAGGTACTGCATCAGTCGACCTCAGTATAAGACTTCCTGTGGTATCTCTTCATTGATATCTTGTTGGAATTTCTTGTATAGCACAATGGGAGCTGGAAAGTAAGTCATACATATTCATTGATATACAGTGTTCCCCCAAATGCTTTTTGAACTTGACTTAAGACATCTACTTAGCCTATGATTAGATATGCATTTCCCCCCTTAATACTGGGTCTCTTCATCTCACACTGGCTGAAAGTAGAAGGGCTTGTGAGTCAAATGTCACTAATGATTGGCACAGGAATTTTGACATATTCCATTTCTGACTTGTGCGTGTCTGCCTCTCTTTGGCCACTTGGTAACCCCCAGTTGAGATGGACTCACCTATTTGGTGCTAGTCTTAGCATGAACACCTGATTGGCTTAGCTCACAGAAGCTCAGAACTCTCCAGCTCAAGTTATCTGCCAGCTTTAGTCTCCCTGGAAGCAGGGGGTATTGGCATGTGCTGCCTCTCCCAACTGAGACTTTATTTTAAAGTTGTATTTCTGTGATAATTTGTCTTTGTCTTTGTTAAAGTGTTTATTTTTGTTTTGGATATCTATAAATCTATTTAGCTGGAATTGTGGTTGGTTGTTACATTGATCAGAGTTCTTCAGTCTTTCAAAGCTATTTGTCTTGACAATATTGTTGTTATTATAGAAATATATGTGTATTATAAATTATGCTTTTCTTGTAGCCTTCCACCTGTTACTCAAGAAGAGGCTTTGCACATTTTGGGCTTTCAACCCCCATTTGAAGATATTCGGTTTGGTCCTTTTACTGGAAATACCACATTAATGAGGTATGAAATCATCTTTGTGAAAATTCAATTTTATTTTGTTTTCAGATCTGAATTCTACACACACACACACACACACACACACACACACACACACCCATCCCTCTACAGACCCTATCCCTCACTAAGAAAGCAAGAAAAACAGAATCTGTTACAAACATGTATATATACAAACATGCAAAACAAATTCATGAGTTGGCCATACCCCAAGTATACCATATTAATGAGGTATGTAGCAGCCTGAGTGAAAATTCAATTTTATTTTCAGCTCTGAACCTTCTTCCCCACATCTTCTCCCCCAGCTCTCCAGCCCCACTGAGAAGCAAGAAAAACAAAACCTGTTGCAAACATGCAATGTTAAACAAAACAAATCCTTCTGTTGGCCATCTCATTCATGTGTGTCTGAATACACATGTATATATGCATATGTGTGTGAATATACATGTATATGTATATACACACATATAAACTGTATATGTGACTACACATATACACACTCCTTCATTTTGAACTCTGAGTCCATCACCTCTCTCTCAGGAAGTGGGTAGCATGTTTCATCATGAGACTTCTTGGTCATTACATTGATCAAAGTTTCTTAGTCTTCCAAAGCTATTTGTCTTGACAAAAGTATTATTATATAAATTATCCTCTTGGTTCTGTTCACTTCACCTTGCATCAGTTTATGCAAGTTAAAGCAAACTATATGTAACAGGATAACTTCTAACTTTAAATCATAGATCCTAATTTTTATTTTAATTCTTGACAGATTTTATTGCTGTTTTTTGTCTTTATATTATAGTCAGTTTGCAAATTCCCCCAAGATTAAACCTTCTTTTATGAGAAAGTAAAATGTTAAACCAAACACAAGATACAGTAACCACATTTGACAATATGTATGTATAGTATTCTGTCCTTAGTAGGCCTCTGCCTCCCTCCTGTGAGGATGAGGGAAGTAGGTTTCATTATCTGTTCTCTGAGACCTTAATTGCTTTTTCAGTAACTTAGAGTTCAATTTGCTTTTAATGATCTTTTCATTTATGTTGTTGTAGCCATTTTGTACGTTGTTCTCTCACATCAATGCATCAGTTCATAGAAATCTTCCCACGTTTCTCTGAATTATTTCTATTATTCATTTCTTACTGTACAATAATATAACATTCATATATTGTAGTTTCCCCTCCCTGCTATTACCCAGTCAGTGGACACCTACTTTGTTTCTAGTTATATATATTTATTTATTTGTTTGTTTTTGGCCAAATGGAAAAGGAGGTACAAAATTATATATTTATTTTTACATGTATTAATACTGCAGGATGTTTACTTGATAGCAAGGCACATATTTTATTTGAATGTAAATATTTTTATTATATTAAATGTTATATTTTTGACTTTCAAAGTTTCATTTGAATTTGTGGTGGTTGTTTTCTTCAAAAAAACTGTCCCGTAATAAGTCTTCTTGCTTTTCAGATGGTTTAGACAAATTAATGACCACTTCCATGTAAAAGGCTGTTCTTATGTTCTCTATAAACCTCATGGAAAGAATAAAACAGCAGGAGAAACTGGTAAGTATAACATTGTCAATTGACTGTGTTTTTTTTTTTCCTTTTAGCATATTTTGAGTAACTTCTTATACTAGTGACCAAAGTTAAAGGTTAATTTATTAATTTTTTAATAGACAGCTTAGTATCTTAGATTTAGAGCTAAAAAGGACCTTAGAGGCCATATAATCCAACTCTTATTTTATAGATGAGGAAAGTGAGGCATAGAGAAATTAAGAAACTTGCCCGGGTTTATGCAGTAAGTTCCAAAGCTAGGATATGCACCCAGGTTCTCTGACTCCATATCTAGAGATCTTTGCACTAAAGTGTGCTAGATTAAGTACTGTGTCTCTTAATTGACTCTTCTGAAAGAAAGGCCCAAACGGCTGTTGACTCAAAGGAAAGTCACAAAATGGTATTATTTAGGTAGGCCTAAATGGTATAAAATTGTTTGTACATATTACATACTTAAAAAAGAAAGCATCCTTCCCCCCCCCCACCCCATTCCATAATGGCAAAGAAATAAAAGTCTGAACAATTGTCTGCTTAATTTGGCCAGTATAGACGACCCATGCGGATAATTCACTCATATAGTTTTTTGTTGTTTTTGTCATAGGCTCCACATCTACACTGTCCAAATTCAGCAGATAAATACTTTGCTTTCCCCCCTAGACTTCCACCCCCTTTCCTTAGTGCTTTGTAAACCTAGTCAAAGAGTCATTTAAAGCATGTAGAGGCTTGTTATTTTCAATCTTGGCCAGATGCCAAAACAAGGGAGGGGCGGGAAAGAAACCCTGTTAATTCTTCTTTGGAAATCAAATATGTCTATAGGAATAACATTCTGAAATCTGGAAGACAGGAGAGCTGAAAATCTTGTGATTGCCACTCAGCAGTCACAGATAGACTTATCAAATTGCATAACACCCCCCCCCCCCCCACAAGCCATTTTATTTTACCCAAGTAGTTATTTGAATTTTGGCAGGGACAGCTATGTTGTAGTTAAAAGAATATCAACTACAGAATCATAAATTCTGGGTTTATTAAGCCCCAACTGCCATTTGCAATCTGGGTAGATTTGGCAAGTCATTTAACCTGGATGGGCTTCAGTTCCTTATTTGTAAAAATGGGAATAATATTAAATTTCACAGGATTATTGTGAGGATCAAATGAGATAATGTATATGAAATGCTATAGAAGTCTTAGCTGTTGTTATGCCATCAGTCTGGTTAATTATTCCAGGAAGTAGAATTTCCCAAGGCATGAAAAGGCAACTTGAACTGCAGGGGCTAATGATATCTCTTCTTAAATCCAAGGTGGGTAATAATCCAGTTTCCCTTTTGACCTTAGGTTTTCAAGATTGGTCCATTTCTCAGAAAACAGTCTCAGATGAGTTAAGGGAAGGATGAAGGGGGCAAGCCTAAAGAATTTATATTCATCATCATAAATGTTTGAGTTTGTGTACCATAATACTTTTATTCTAAAATTAATATTTACCTTAGTCAAAATATACTGTTTAAAATATTTTCAGTAATCTTTTTCACATTAATTTTATGGGCAAACAGGAAAAAAGGAAGATATTTTAGAATTCAAATATATGTGATTATGGGTAGGCTTATTCTCTAGAGTGTAGGTTTGTGTATCTATCTATCTATCTATCTATCTATCTATATATATTTTTCCCCCCTTAGAACACATTTCTAGAGATGAATAGATTTCACTATAGAGGTACCTAATCAAAATTTATCTTCTTTTTTCTGTTCATACCTAATTTTATTCCCTTTTATATTCACAATAAGCAATACATTTGATGTTTCCTGTTTCTAACTATTTTTAGATAGCTTACCAAGCCCCTCCTTATTTGTACAATAGCCATCTATAGTTCAGTCACAATTCCCTGGGAGTAAGAGGTTGCTATTGATTTATTTAGAATGCTATCCAGTAAATCTGTATCACTGGAGTGCTCAAAATTTCACCTCCTGTTTGATAAATGATCTTAGAATTATCTAAAATGAGTTTGTAATACCACAGTGGTTATTAATTCTCAGAAACACTTCCTAGTCCATGCTGGTTCCCAGATTATCACTTTATTCCACCCCTTCACCCCTCCCCCAAAACCCCCCCCCCCCCCACACCCCCATCACAGTTCATCGGAGGAGCTGCACGGACTGCTGCACAGTAAACTCAGGTTTCATTCTCTGAAGTGGTCTTTTATGATCTTATCATTACATTAAATATCATTTATATCATAGAAAAATATTTTCACATCACAGAATTCCATAATTTCGTTGACTTAAACTATTAATTTTGGGGGTATAATTTTTTGATGCTCTTTCTTATGTCATTGTCAATTGCCTCTGACTTCTCCCATCCCCATTCAACAGAGAGGTCCCTTACAGCATATATGTGTGTGTATATATACTTCACATATATACATACATGTAAATATATGTCATATGACAAATAAATATAGTCAGCAAACAAACAAATACCTTGACCATGTCTGTAAACCATGCTCTTGGTCACAACTATAGTTCTCTACCTCTCAGAATGGTAAGGGGGCCAGAAGGCATCACTCTAGTGAAGTCGTGATGAATCACTCCATGGATCAGGGCTCAGAAGTCTTTTAGTTTTGCTTTTCTATTGTCATCATATAAATTGTTCTGCCCCTCATTTCACTGGGTACAAGTTCATAAACTCTTCCCAAGCTGCTCTGACTTCCTCACCTTTTCCATGTCTTACAGCCTGATAGTATTCCATTATATTCACAGACCACAGTTTGTTTAGTCATTCAGTGGTTTGGAAGTAGGAAAAGTCCATTTTTGTATATACCTTTTCCTCTGTCTTCAACCCTTTTGGGTGTATGCTTAGTAGTCAGAGTATGTACATTTTATTTTCTGTTGGGGTATTATTTACTGTTGGGCAGCTACATGGAACAGTGATTAGAGTATTGGACTTGGAGGCAGGGAGATCTGAATTCAAATCTTGCCTCAGACCTTTACTGGCTCTGTGACCATGGGCAAGTTACTGAACCTTTCTCAGACTGTTTCCTCATCTGTAAAAGAGGAATAATAATAGTACTCATCTCATAGGGTTGGTAAGAGGATAACATGTAAAGAGCTTTGAAAACCTTAAGGCACAAAATAAATACTAGCTATTTATATTACAACTTTAAATTATTTCCCACAACACTTCAAATTTACAGCTCTAACAGTCCAAATAGTGTTCCTGTCTTCCTGAAGCCATTTTTGTCTTTTACTGATCTGAAGGGGATGGAGTAAAGACTTAGAATTGTTTGAATTTGCGTCTTTCTTTTTTCACTGAGGGTCACACAGCCAATCTGTGTCAAAGGTGGGATTTGAACCCAGGTCTGCTGACTCCAAGGCCAGCTCTTTATCCAATATGTTCTACTGTTAATCTCAGTTCTCTTCTTATTAGTGATTTGAAACATTTTTGTTTGATAGCTTACATTGCTCCTTTTTGTAACTGGCTTTTGATAATTATATTCTTTAACTATTCATTTTTATCAGATAATTCTTATTCATGTATGTCTATTGATACCCTATATAGCTTGCATTTCAGATCTTTAGCAGAGATATTTCTGACATTGAATTTCTCCTACAAATTTCTGTTCTAATTCTAACTGCATTTATTTTGTTTGTGCAAAAATTTTTTAATTTGTATAATCAAAGTTGTCAGTTTTTCTTCTTTGATCACCTCTATTCATTATTTAGTTAAGAATTTTCCCCTTAGGTATGTTTGTCCTTTCATTCTCTGCTAATTTTTTTCATGATATGTTCTTTTATATTTAGATTGTGTATACATTTGCAATTTATTATGATAAATGGCATGATTAATTTAAAACTAATTTTTGCTAAACTGTTTTTCAGTTTTTCAGTCTCTCCATGCAGTCTTGGTCAAATAGGAAATCTTTAGGCTATTGTGATGGGTCTTGCTTATCTAATCTGTTCAAATGAGAAACTTTTTTTTTTTTAGCTAATACAAAATAGTTTTGATAGTCATTATTTTATAGTATGACTTGAAGTCTGGTAATGGTAGACCCACTTCATTCCTACTGTTTTTCATTATTTCCTTTAAAATTCTTGACCTTTAGAAGAATTTTGTTGTTATTTTATTCTCATGTTGCTACTATTTTGTCTAGAATCAAAAAGTTCTATAAAGTTTCCCATTCTTTTTTCCTTTCTTCTTTCTTCCAGTCTTCAGTATTTGTTGTTGTTCATTTGTTTTTCAGTTATGTTCTATTCCTCGTGACTCTTCAGCATTTAATCTAATTCATTTCAGTTCAATGTGAATGATATGACTTTTATTCTAGAATCCAAATATTGTCTAACAGCATTTTTCAGGATGTAGCATAAAGCATTTACATGTTCGTATGTTAAAGATAGTAGAATAATACTAATACTATTAAGAATATTTTGTGATAGACATAATATAAATTTGTCCTATTTTCTGACACTAAGGATATGTCAATATGCATACTTTGTTCATTCTTTTGATGGACTCTCCTAGTCATCTCAGTCAAGCAGAAAAACTGATCATACATATAGAAAACTTACACTTCTTCATATGTGGTCCAGACTATCCACATGACCACACATTTACCTTATTGTCCACTATTACCCTGAGTTTTCTGCTCTCTCAGTACATGCCTACCCATTTTGAGTTTTTTAAGGTATGTCTTTTCCAACCAACCATTTCTGTTACTAAAAATACACACACACACACACACACACACACACACATTTTCACTGATTTAAAAAAAAGTATAGTTGAATTCACTAATGTGTTTTTGGATTCAAGATTAAAACATGTAACTTTCTATGTAACTAGATGACATTTTCAAAGAATGTATATATGTCTATGTTTAAAGATATTTGTTACCAGGAATAATATTTCTAATTTTTAGTTGTAAAAGTTTACTTTGGAACTCACATGTACCAATAATATGCAAAACATTATAGTAATCCTCCCTTTTCAATTGTTGCCATCATGATAAACAGCTCAAT